CAGAAACTAAAATGAGGGGTTTAATATGATTGTAAATTTAAATGAAAATAAAATAAATTAAAAGCAATCAACCCAAGAATTAGGATTCCAAGGATATCCATCATTGGACAAATAATTACCAAATCGCGATTGATCTCAATTGAATCAGAATCCTTATTTCCAATTGAGAACCCTCTCTAAGCGATCGCTTAGCGTTTGGTCGAATACGGCGCGTCTACTCGCGCAATCGTGGAGTATCAACCCGTTCGACTTGAGTTCATTGGCTTAATCAACCTAACCATTAAATCTAATGGTTAATCTCTTTCCTAAGAACGCAATCGCGTATCTCAGATTGAACACCCACAATCACGCGATGCCAAACCGAGTGGGAAAGAGAAACGAATTTGGTTCAAAATGAGGCGCAGGTCCTCAAGATTCAACCATGGAATCCTCAACCTTTGGGTTGATTACAGAAAAGAGGAGAGAAAAAAGACGAAAATTATATTAATTTCAAAACTGTAAAATTCAAACTCAAATGAAAGATGTCATTAAATGAGTTGTGGTCTTGTTGGGCCCACGACTTTAGCTAAGATATCTCCATATCTTTAGTTCATGAGGTCTTTACCTTGTATCTAAATACAAGTAGATAAGTCGTGCTAGTCTTACCCGAGATCACTGATCCCCATTCTCAGTGTCTCTAGACTAGGAACATAAAATTTAGGAATAAACATCTGGTATCCTTGAATCCTCATGATCGTGATCTCATCACAGATACTCAAGAGATACCTATTCTATTCCAAGGGGTTTATCTAGTTACTCATATGATAAATTAACAATGATATCGAGATAAAATATGAAACAGGATAAAAAGTGCTTATGATTTATTTGCGACAATATAAAAGGTACACATATGTCCTAATCTAATCAAAAGATTGTCTCTAGGCATCCATATACTAACAGGATCTTTGTGAGAAGGACTGATGGAAGGGTTTTAAAAGTGGAATGGTCATAAGTTTTGAGTCAAGGAACGTGCTTCAATTTTTCTGTTCCAGAGCTGGACTTTTCTGTTTGAAGGGACACCTTGTCTTTTGTACCTTCTTTCCTTCCTTTGGAGGAAGCTTTTCTGGTATTTTTTTCTGAATTCTTTTTAATGGCTGTCCCCATTTTTCTTTGTTTTCTTTCTTTCTGTCCTTTATGCTCATTTCGGATTTGTTCCTTGCTCTTTTTTGTTGACCTGTGAGTGAGTGTGATTGTGTGGGATAAAGTTGTGGTGTGAATGGGACTGGAAGTGTTTGGATGATTGTGAGGGGGTTAGTGTTTGGTGGTTTGATCCCTGTTAGTGAAATTCACCTGTTCTTCAGCAGAACTTACAACATCAAGGCAAGTTTAGAAGTTTTATTGTGGTGACACCTCAGGAACGCTCTCATGAGTATGTGTTTGACATTTTTTGTTACTCACCAGTTTTAGTTCACACAGATCAGCCTTCTTAAAAAATCTGAAGATTAAATTCATTTCACCTTTCCTATGTCAAGCATTCAGAGTAAGAACAAGAATGATTACTTAGTGACTTTGTGTTTCATGTCATTGGTTATTCAAAGTTTCACAGCCACAGTACTATAAATGAGATGCATGCTCCAAACAGTTTGATCAAAAAAGATTTTTTCTATTTAAAAAAAAAGGCATTAAAAATTACACTAGGGAACGAAAAGGGAAATAAAAGGAAATAACATAAAGCAATAAACATATGTGGTTTTTAGACCACCCCAAAACTACGTTCCTGGAACAGAACGTATTTTACTTGTTTGGACTTGGAGTTTGAACATTAGATGCTCTCTCCATTTCTGGGAGCTGTGTGGTTAAGTTTAACCACCCCAAAACTTTGCTATTTGTTCAGGAGCAATTGTGTCTACTGGGTTGCCTCCCAGTCAGCCCTTATTTTAATGTCTTTAGCTAGACATGTTACTTACTTTTCAGCTGGAGTCAGAAAGAGGGATACTTTCCTCTTTTTAATTGAATTTTTCATCAGAATATAGCTCCAACCTGTGTCCATTAACTTTAAAAGAGCGGTCATGCTCCGTTCCTTGAATTTCGAAAGCTCCATTTCCTGCATCTTTTACGATTTGATATGGCCCAGTCCATCTTGATTTGAGCTTTCCTGGGAACAATCGGAGCCTGGAGTTGAATAGTAACACTTGCTGACCAACCTTGAGCTCTCTGCTCCTAATTCTTTTGCCGTGCCACTTTTTCGTCTTTTCTTTGTACAACTTGTGATTTTCATACGTGTTTCCTCTGAATTCTTCCAATTCCTCAAGCTGTAGTGTTCTCTTCTCTCTTGCTGCTTTTTCATCCATGTTGAGCGCATAAACTGCCCAATATGCTTTGTGTTCTAACTCTAGAGGGAGGTGGCATGCTTTGCCAAATATCAATCTGTAAGGGGAACATCCTAAAGGTGTTCGGTAGGTTGTTCTGTAAGCCCACAATGCCTCATCTAATTTGAGAGACCAGTCTTTCCAAGAAGGATTAACAACCTTCTCTAGAATTCTCTTAACCTCACAGTTAGAGACTTTAATAAGTCCACTGGTCTGCGGATGATATGGGGATGCCACTTTGTGTTTGACCCAATATTTCTCCAACAGTCTCTCAAACTGGCGATTAATGAAATGTTTCCCACCATCACTGATGATACAGCGGGGGGTTCCATATCTTGTCAAGATGTTTTTCTTTAAGAATTTTATAACCACCTTGGCATCATTAGTGGGTAAGGAAATAGCTTCCACCCACTTACTTACATAATCAACATCCATCAATATAAATTTATTCCCACAAGAAGGGGGGAAAAGCCCCATGAAATCAATGCCCCACACATCAAACAATTCAACTTCTAATATGGGATTAAAGGGCATTTCATTCTGTTTAGTTAAATTACCCTCCCTTTGACATTTATCACATTGTTTAGCATATTGAAGAGCATGTTTAAAAAGGGATGGCCAATAAAAACCCGATTGAAGTATCTTGGACGCAGTTCTGATTCCGCCTAGATGGCCTCCATAGGGGGATGAATGACATTGAAAAAGGATTTGAGGTTGCTCTTCTTCTGGGACACACCTCCTTATCATTTGGCCCACACATCTTTTGAATAATAAAGGTTCATCCCAGAGATAGCTCCTGCAATCATGATAAAATTTCTTTTTCTGCGTCCAGCTTGCTTCATATGGTTCCAATCTTGCTGCAAGGAAGTTGGCTATATCAGCAAACCAAGGCACGTCAACGTCTTTGTCATTGATGAGAAATAATTGTTCGTCAGGGAACGTTTCCTTGATAGGTAGCCCCACTTCCATGTGTTCCAATCTGGACAGGTGATCAGCAATTTGATTTTCGCATCGCCTTCTTTCTTTGATCTACAGATTGAATTCTTGCAGCAGTAAGATCCATCTTATCAACCGTGGTTTTGCTTCTTTCTTGGCAAATAGATATCTAAGAGCTGCATTGTCAGTGTGGATAATGACTTTTGATCCCAGAATGTACGGCCTGAACTTTTCACAAGCATATACTACAACTAATAGTTCTTTTTCAGTGACTGTGTAGTTCACTTGAGCTTCATTCAGAGTTTTGCTAGCATAGTATATGCTCCGAAAGAGCTTATCCTTCCTCTGACCTAAAACCACCCCTATAGCTTGGTCACTTGCATCACACATTAATTCAAAGGGTAGATTCCTGTCCGAAGGTTGGATAACAGGCGTAGTAACTAATTGACTTTTCAAACCTTCGAAAGCCTTCAAACAGTCGGGGCTAAATTCAAACTTCACATCTTTTTCCAGCAAATGGCACAGAGGTCTAGCTATTTTAGAGAAGTCTTTGATGAATCGTCTGTAAAAACCTGCATGCCCAAGAAATGACCTCAGTGTTTTAACACTTACCGGAGGTGGCATCTTTGCTATGGCTTCTACTTTGGCTTGGTCCACTTCTAACCCGTTCCTGGAGATTTTATGTACTAAGACAGTTCCTTCTTTTACCATGAAATGGCATTTCTCCCAGTTAAGAACCAGATTAGAAGAGATACATCTTTGAAGAACTTCTTCTAAGTTGACCAGACAGTGATCATATAACGTTCCCAAAATTGAGAAATCGTCCATGAAAACTTCCACTCCTTCACCTATCAAATCAGAAAAAATAGAGAACATACACCTTTGGAACGTTGCTGGTGCATTGCACAATCCAAAAGGCATTCTTCTGAAAGCAAACGTTCTGTAGGGGCAAGTGAAGGTGGTTTTGTGTTGATCCTCTGGTGCTAAAGCAATTTGGTTATATCCAGAATATCCTTCAAGAAAACAAAAGTATTCTTTACCTGCCAGGTGGTCTAGCATCTGATCTGTAAAGGGCAGTGGGAAATGGTCTTTTCTGGTAGCATTATTGAGCTTTCTGTAGTTCTGGCAAATTCTCCATCCCGTAACTTTCCTGATGGGGATCAGTTAATTTTTCTCATTTAATTCTACAGTTATGCCCCTCTTTTTGGGAACACACTGAACAGGACTTACCCAACTGCTATCAGAGATGGGGTATATGATCCCTGCATCTAACCATTTGATTACTTCTTTCCTAACCACTTCTTTCATGATTGGATTCAATCTCCTTTGGTGTTCTACTGAAAAGTTGTTAGGGTCAGTCAATAATATTTTATGCATACAGAAAGAAGGATTGATACCTTTAAGGTCGGCTATGGTCCATCCAATAGCTCCTTGATATTTCTTCAGCTTGCTAATCAGCAGTTCTTCTTGTTCGTTGGTGAGTAGTGAGGAGATGATGACATGCAGGGTGTCATTGCTTCCCAGATACGCATACTTCAAGTGTTGGGGAAGAGGCTTAAGTTCCAAGTCAGGAGGTTGTTCTGAAGATGGTTTTTTGACTTATTTTTCCTTTTCAGATCTTTGTAGAGGTTCAGGTTTCCTTTCTTGCAGATAGTAATTCTACTCCTCTTTCTGCAAACCCTCTTCCATTTCTTCGGCTTCTAGATTTATATTAATCTAGTTATCTGATAATGTGATTGCAGAGCATTCTTCCAGATCTTCATCCTCATCATAAAATTTCATTGCTTTGATGACATTGAATTTAACTTCATCATCATGTACTCGCATGGTAAGTTCCTCTTTTTGTACATTGATGACCGCTCCTTCGGTTGCTAGGAACGGTCGTCCCAGGATGATGGGAACGTCTATATCTGCTTCATAGTCCAAAATGATGAAGTCAGCAGGAAAGATAAATTTATCTACCTTGACTAGTAGATTTTCCACCTTTCCTTCTGGTTTGACAATGGATCTATCTGCCATCTGTAAGGTTACAGTGGTTGGTTTTGCTGGTCCTGTGGCCAATTGTTTAAAAACTGAGGAGGGCATAAGGTTGATGCGTGCCCCTAAGTCACACAAGGCTTTACTTTGGTACGTGTTCCCTATTGTACAAGGTATGGTGAAACTTCCTGGATCCCGTAGCTTAGGTGGGAGTTTGCCCAAGTATTGGCAGCTTTCTTGTGTCATCTTCACAGTTTCATATTCGGTTATTCCTCTCTTTTTGGAGAGAATGTCCTTCATGAATTTGACATACTTGGGCATCTGTTCCAGCGCGTCTACCAGGGGTATGTTGATGTGGAGTTATTTTAGAATGTCCATAAACTTTCCAAACTGCTTATCATCTTGTTGCTTCCTTGTTCTTTGGGGGAACAAAATTTTGACTGGGACTTGCTCGGTTTGTAGTGGACTGCTTGTTTTGCTACTATCCACTGGATTTTCGTCAACTTCAACTTCTGCCTCAAGTTCTAGGTTTTGCTCGACAGCTGCCTGTTGTGGTGGTTTGTCGTGTTCCCCCTGGTGTCTAGGGTTGAGTTCTTGGGAGCTGTTGCAGCTTGTGTAGTGGTTTTCCCACTTCTTAATGTGACTGCCTGGATCTGTTCAGGTTGAGATTTGGAGGGGACGTTAGTATCCCTTGGCAGATGTCCTGGTGTCCTGGTGTTAAGGCTAGTAGCTATCTGTCCCAGGTGGGACTCAATGTTTCTGACCACAGCATCATTCCTGGTGACATATTCTTTGACATAGCTTTCCTGGGTGTTGATGCGTTGGTCATCTCTTTGGAATAGAGCATAATTGGTTCTTCTCTGTGGTTCATAAGCTTCGTTCCCACTGCTTCTGCCTTGTTGATATGGCTGCAGCTGATTGTTGTATGGTCTTTGGTTCATGGGTGGTCTCCATTGTGGATTATGGTTCTGATCCTTCATTATGGTTCCTCCAGGGTTTTGATTGTTGTTGCTCCCTGCAGTCTGGTTGCCTCTGGCCTGGGTGAAGTTTCTGTTCCCGAAGTTTTCTACATAACACACCAAGGCAGTAGATAGACAGTCTGTTGAATCACGAAGGTCACCACAGGCTGAGCATGGTTCACTCTCAGTTGATGTGAGTTGTAAGACTTCTATCCTTGGTTGTTCTTGATCAGCTTTCAGGTTCTTCACCTCATTCATCAGTGTGGCCAGTTGGGACTCCATGGCAGTTTGTTTGTTTAATTCAAGCATGTCTGGCTTCCTTACTGGATTCACCCTGTCTAGTGGCCACTGGAGAGATCTTTCTGCAGTCCTTCAATGATTTCGTACCTGGATTCAAGGGTACTTGTAAAAAATATCCTCCTGCAACAAAGTCTAAATGTGATTGAGAAGTATGGTCAATGCCTTTATAGAAAGACTGTAAAACTCCCCAACTCTCTACCCCATGGTTTGGATGTTTTCTGATGATGTCCTTGTATCTCTCCCAAGCTTCATAAAGATTTTCTCCATGAAACATTCTAAAGTTAGAGAGTTCTGCCCTAACATCAGCTTGTCGAGACATAGGGAGAAACCTTTTCTATGAACTTGTTAGAAAGTTCCTCCCAAGAGTGTATGTATCTAGGGGTGAGAGTTTTCATCCATGTTTTTGCTTTTGAGCCTAGGGAGTGAGGAAACAGCCTCATTCTCATGCTTTCCTCTGTCACACCCTCAGCTTTGAAATTATCACAGATATCTTGAAAGTTTGTGAGGAGTGTGTAAGGATCTTCTGCAGGGAGTCCATGAAAGACTCCAGCTTCCCTTATCATGTGGAACATGATGGGTTTCAATTCAAAATTGGGGGCTACAGGAGGGAGGATTACTCCCCTTTCTGGTCTGTTCCTGAAAGGAGCAGCCAGGGTTCTAAAGTTCTGTTCAGGAGGGATGTCATCATTGTTATTGCTATGATGAGCCATGTTTTCAAAAATATTTTCCCTGAGATTTCTTCTCCTTCTATGTAAAGTGCGTTCTAGCTCAGTGTCAAAGAAGAACTCAGGTATCTCAGTGGAGTGGGGAGAATCTGTTTCAGACACTTCACTCATAAACCATAAAACAGATAATATGAATCAGCAGAATATGTGACAAATAAAAATGGAAATGAAATATACAGAGTATGTATGTACTTAATACAATGATATGGACAAAATTTAGTGTATCTATCCCCGGCAACGGCGCCAAAAACTTGTTGGGTGCTTAGAGGCTGTTGGATGAAAATATAGTATGATGAAAACGTTTCTCAGTTTACTAAGAAAGAACACAAGTGTTTTCTTAGTTTAACCCAAGTGCGCAAGTGCATGTATCAAGTAATAAATAGGAGTATTATGCCCAGATTATCGTTCCCACGAGGATAGAACTCTAATTAGTGTCTTATACTGTTTGATAAAGAATGAAAATGAAAAGAAAAGTTAGTAATTGACCTGTTTGGTCAAACGTTCCTTACTGTCTTGACAATGTTCCTCAAGGACAGTAGGTTCAATCAGACAACAAACTGTTCATCGCTTCGTTATGTATGTCAACCTTCTTGTTTAGGGAAGGAACAACAATATTCATGAGAGGTTTATAGATACAAGATTAAATAAAGAAAAATACACAAAGTAATAACAATAATCAAGAGACAACATGGTGGATGGTTTAAAAACAATAATCACAGAACGAACGGACCCACTGCTCCGTTCATAAAAAATTATTTTCTCTACTCAGGACTCAACACTTAAGTATTTGTTCCAGTTTCCTTTCTGCCAACGTCTGATTCCTCAGCTTATGGACTAGATGCCTCACAAGTTTCCATATTCCTATGGCTCCTTTGACTCTAACAGGTACTTAGTGCAGAACCTTAAAATGAATGAAGTGGCCCTTTATTCCTAAGGCAACCAGCAATATTGTTTCCACAGTACTGCCTTCCCCCTCTGGTTAAGCTGTCTGAAATCCCTTCCTTATGGAAGATCCTTTCTCATTATGTGTTCGATTTCCAAAGATACATAATGAAGATAGCATACGTAACCAGAGAAACACAAAAGCTGTAATACAAGAGCTTCGAAAATAACTTTTTAAGAACTTTGCAGTTTTTTCATTCCACGAATAGTTTAGCCCATGGTTACTAGTTTAAACATAATTATTCCAAACTGAAGTCCCATAGACCCGAGATTCAGTTCAGAGATAACAAGTGGAAAGGAGAGAAATAACACTTGTATTTAAATGAAAACAAATTGATTACAACAAAATGAAAAGTGGAGAAGATGGTTGTTGCTCGTGAGGAGTCTCAAGTGGGTGATACAGAAATAAGAAGAAGTGTTGTCACTTAATTAAAGTTAAAACTGTACAAATAAAAACTACGAAAATAAACTAAGTGATCTCTTCTTAAGAAATTCAATCCTTTAGGAATTCAATGGATGTCTTCGTGCTGGAACGTCCTATTTATAAGTAGAAGAGTAAATGGCAAACTTGTAAATCCCTTGGAGTTGGTTTCTTGACTGCATGAAAGGCGCGGTGTGAACAGTGCTTTGTGGGGCGCACGTGGCTGGATGAGACAGTTTTTGCTGAGATTTGTCTTTCCTTCTGAACCTCCCATGCCTTGCTTTCCTTTTCGGCCAATAGGAACCGTTTATTCCCTGTTGTGCACCTTTCTCCTTGGTTGAGTGTTGCCCACTTGTGCTTAATTGGAAACTTCTTTTCAACGTTTCCTGAAAAGTGGTCAGAAAGATTGAGTGAGTGAAGCAGGTGTATTTAATGCCCAAAATTCGTTCCCCTTTTTATATATTTTCCAAAGATTATGTCACCTTCTGTTCCCCACTGTGTTTTTGTGATAAAGATATAAAACATGTGTTTTTAGTGCTAAAGTTGCTCATCATGTGAGGGAACAGATGGTATTTTGCCATCAAAATAGGCTTAGATGGGCACAGATTTCCGTCCCATCATCAACTGCCCAATTTGTTTTGGGGATATTGTTAATCCAAGTGGTCACCTCTGGACTAATTTATTGAAATTTCCCCAACAGAATATTGAAATGAACCCTAGAAGGTGCATAACCTGGCAATATAAACTATAGTTATTTCAAACAAATAATGGAATGACAAGTCATGTTGTGGGCTTTATCATTAAGACGATGTATGCTTAGTTCCATAAAATCTTTTTGTAATTTCTAGTTCCTAAATTTTTTATTAAAATTACTTGCAATTTGTTGAAAGCAATACACATGATATACTTGCAGAGGCTGCCAACCAAGTGGACATTTTGGACTACCGATAGGATGCTTTGTTGCAGATCGAAAATAAGACATTTGTTTTTAGGGTAACGTGCAAACAAATACAAGTCAAAAAATATGATCAAGCTTCCAATGTCTTACCTTCAACAATAGCAAATGCAGTGGCAATACTTTATTATTTCCATCTTGTATTGTCGCGATCAACAATTTCCCTTCATACTTGCCATATAGGTGGGTGACATCAATTTGAATGATTGATTTGTAGAAATTAAAGGCATCGCAACACTGTCTGAACGTCCAAAATTTTTGATGAAAAACTTGATGTCTAGGCACCACCCAGTGATTGATAACATAATCATTTGTTTAGAGATGATAGACATAACCCAGAGAGAAATGAAGCATATAATCACACCATCGAGGAAAATATGCATAAGGTTTTTCCTAATCATCGTAGATCGTTGCAATGGGTTTCTGTTTTGTTTTATAAGCCTTCTTATAAGATACTTTGAAAGCGTAATATGTAGTGATCCTCTATTGTATCATCGTGATCGAAACTGATGGTTCTTCCTTTATCATGCTTATCATGCAATTGCGCGACATACACCAACACACAACAACACATATATGACCTATTCAACTAACATAAATGTTACATTAACAATAATCACATACCTAGTATGAGTGAAGCAATAATATCATAATCAAGTTGTCTGTGATCCTAGGAAAGCTACTAGTTGAGACAATTGTTATCTCCACCCTATTCATTGATTACTCACCTTGTCTCTATTCTTCTATTTCTTTGCCCTAACCCGCCATAGGCCACCATCTTCATGCTTGTGACTTTTCATTACCAACTTAGCAATCGTACTCTCAACCACTACCACATCCTGTTAGACTTTCATGCAATAACGCTTGAATGACATTTGACGGCTTTCTTAGACTTGAATTATGGCTTAACATACAATTTGTCTCCTATTTGCCATGGACCCCGCAACTGCCCCTCAAAACTACCCCCTCATTTTTGGGGTGATACCAAACGATATATGTGTGTAATGTGGAATACCTGT